CTTGCAGGCCAAAGTGGTATGTTTGTTTATATTTTGTGAATTTTATATTGCAATATGTTTTAATGCTGAAATATAATTTCCTTGTACACCTGTATTTACCAGTTCCATAGTGTACCTGTGTACGTTAAGAGAAGCACAGTAAACATCAGTAAAGAAGAACTCTCGTGTCTCTCGTGTCATGATTCGGCTGTGTGCAGGCTGGATGAGGACCCAATCGCAAACTCACAGAGGCAGGAATGAACTCAAAATTCACAGCTTTATTGCTGGAGAGCAGAACCATACAAATTAAACCAGGAAACTATAACGTGGATCATTTTCCATCTTAACCCTCTGCGGTCGATGGAAGCGTCGACACGTCAAAATCACATGACCAATTTAAGACGACACAGCCACAAGATAGTGATGGGATTTCTGCCTCTTTTTGGAGAACTGGCTCTTTCGGCTCGGCTCATTAAAAAGAGCCGGCTCTTTCAGCTCCCAACCGGCTCTTCAGGTTGTTTTGTTGGTCGAAAGTAACGGACTTCAGACTACATACCAGTTCTTGAATTGTGTCGATGGGCCACGTAAAACCAGAGTTATGATAAAAAATACACATAATGTTTTTTTCTTTACAAAACAGTGGCGTTTACAGCAGGAAGAAGGTAAAAACGTTGTTTTCTACAGACAGCGCTAGCAAACACTCTCTGCTTGCGCGTGAAAAAATGAAAAAGAAAAAACCCTCCTTCCCCATTGGTGTTAGAGTTTACCATGTCAGCCAATCAAAAAATGTTTTGTTGCTTTAATTAATTTATTATCAACAACAACATAAAATCATGCACAAAAGAAATTACTAATGTAAAAAAACAAAGTGGATTTATTTATATGTTTACATATAAATATATGTGGTGGCCCCTAGAGATAAAGCAGTGGCAGAGTAAAACTAAACACGATGAACACAGGAACACCAGACCTCTTCAACATAAAACAGGAAACATAAGACGCAGACATGAAACACATGAAGGGGAAGGGAGACTTGACATGGGCGGAAGACACAAGGGGAATCTAATAACGAAGAACTAGAACAACCTAGGCATGATAAAAAATGAACTTAGAAAACCTGAAGGGCTTAAACATAAACTAAAACTCAAAACGCTGGGTCAAAAGACCTGGATCGTGACATCGCGTGTATGTGTACAAGCCTGCCCTAAACACATCAGGGTTACTAAATGGACAATCAGTGACTTCCTGACCCCATCTTTTTTTTACAGAGCCGGATCTTTCGGCTCCCAACAGGCTGTTTTGTTCCTTTAATTAATTTATTATTAACAACAATATATAATATATAATATAAAATTATGCACAGAAGGAATAACTAATGTAAAAAAAGTGGTTTTATTTATATACCTTTATATATAAATATATGCGGTGGCCCCTAGAGACAAAACACGTACAAACTCCAAAACACATTTCTAACGTTAACTGAACTTCCAAAGCAGAGCTACTAGATCACTTAAATTACACAATTGAAAGCATGTGTGTGTTGTTTGTGTCTTTATACACAAGCACTCATATGTATTCAAATAATTCAAAGAAAATGTTCATTTACCTGTTACTACCACACACCAAAACCGGTCGTTGGTACTTCCTTGCTTGTGTAGCCACTAGGTAACAAAAGCTCAACACTGCCCCCTAGCATCCTGGAGCACTTCTGTTGTCTTTTGTACGTGTTTTGAGTTTTTATGTGCTTCTGAGTTTTTAAGTGTTTTGGAGTTTTTATGTGTTTTGGAGTTTGTACGTGTTTTGTCTCTAGGGTACTGTAAATATACTTTTATTTATTCACTCCATATAAAATGTAATAAATAAATCATATAATACAAAAACCAACTATTTAAATTTCAACTTTTAACTATTTAAATTTTCAGCTTTTTCCTTTTAAACAAATTTAAAGTGAAACAACACAAAACACTGCAAACCACAACACAATTAAATATAAATTATAATAGGAAAACAAAAAGAAGATGCACGTTCTCTGCATGAATAAACTTTCTGAATCCTTTATCATCTGCAACTGAAAATAGTTGTGGATGATTACTATACCTTTCTGATGTGACGTTGTTGTCTCTCTTTCTCTCTCTCTCCCTCCCGCTCTGTTCCTGTGCTACTGGGAGTGTAACTACCGCCCCTCCCCCCTCTGCCCAGCGCAAAGCACACGGCTCGAGAAAGAAAAGAAAACCTACACTGGTGTCGTTCACTTCAAAGAGCCGGCTCTAAGAGCCGTTTCGTTCGCAACCGACACATCACTAGTGTGCGCTGCGTGTGGTGTAGGCGTGTGCATGTGTGCCCCGGTCACAGCTCCTTTCAGCATGGCCGGAGGTAAGTCACTGCCACGTTGCTGTCAGCTAATTAAAGTTTGTTCAGACCCCTAGCTGCAATGTGAAGATAGTCGCACCGCCGTGTAATTATATAATATATATAATATATATAATAATGATTATTTGGTAATTTGGGATACATGATTTTTGTTCCACTTCTCACGTGTGCACCACTTTGTGTTGGTCTTTCATGTGGAAGTCCAATAAAATTGATTCATGTTTGTGACTGTAATGTGACAAAATGTGGGAAAGTTCAAGGGGGCCGAATACTTTTGCAATCCACTGTATGAATGATAAATGGTCCTCATGAGGAGACGAGGACATGGAGGAGGCAGCAGCTCTTAGAGCTGAAAGAACAACAGCAGCTTAGTGAATGAAACAGCAGCTGGAGATTCAAGGTTCTTTATTTGTCACATGCATAGTTATACAAGTATAATACACAGTGAAATGTAGCCTGACACGCTCCTCGACATGTGCAAAAATATGTATATATATATATATATATATATATATATATATAGAGTATATACACTTGGTGAATGTGCAGTAGTAGCAGCAAGCAGGTGAATTCTGTACATTAATATGAATAGACATCTGACTATTTTACAGGATAGACAATATAAACATATTTAAAATTAAAGGAATTTGGAATGTACATTGTGCCTGGGTTTAGAGTGTCTGGAAGAGAGTCCTGTCTCAGTCAGTTATAGATGATGTGAGAGCTTTGTCATAAACAGGACGAGCTGTTAATGTCATAGAATTGTCAGCTGTATGAAAAAGGCTTATAGTTACTTAATGGCAAACGTTCAAACTGAACTAAACAGTCACAGATTCATGTAGTGACTGTGTGCACAACGTTACAATTAATAATGATACATTTGTTCCAACAGCCTCTATGAAACTGATCTTTGTATTTTTCCATGTAACACAGTGGAGTATGAAACATGTACACTAGGGCTGTGCGACATGACCAAAATCTCATGTCCCGATATAAGAATTCTATCGTCCGGTAACGATATAAATCACAAAAATGTAACATTTTCTGTAAATTCTGTGAATCTCGGGCAGCTCGACTTGCGTGAAGTGTTTCCAGCTGCGCGTCATGTAGCTGGAGTCGAGTGTTTTAACCGATGCTGAAACGATACATTTTAGACATAAGTTGTAACGGCCGCCGTTTTCTTTGTGAGTATTTATTACACGGCGTGCTGCGGGGAAAAGCCTGTTCTAACGTTTGAGTTTAAGCTTTATTTTTCAGCACCTGGCAGCTCTTTTTTACTTCTCATGCGTAAGTAATCTGCTCTTTCACGTGATTTAGTTTATTTTGAAAAGTCTCAAAAGGATCTTGAGCTTTATTGTGAAAGGTTTATGTGGAACATGAACAAGCGGACTGGCGATGGTGTTACCGTCGTTGTTGCTAACCACAACGCATAAAAACAGGCGCTTGTCCATCGGTAGTGTGGTTATATTAAATATAAGAGAAAGAGAGAACTTCTAGAAATTAATAATAACTACAGTGACATCAAAACCATGAACAAATGTTGCCGTAAACAGTTTATTTTGCGACACCACGAAACAAACGATAGCGTAAAATGAAACGATAGACGTTTTTATATCGTCATCAGATATATATCGTTATATTGAACAGCCCTAATGCCCACAGTTTAATAAAACTGTAAAATGATAAAAATGTTTTACAAACAGACTAATTTGTTAGCACAGCCTGTTAGGAGCAGCCATTTACTTGTAGTGCTGAGTATAAATGTACTTGTACCATTAGATGTTATTTGAATGACATCATTGTGTACTTTTAGTTTCATGTACAGTTAGCATTTATGGTTGGCTTTTGTATCCTGTACACTGTTAAAGGTGTGATGTTGTTCCACTGTCACAAACACACCTACATGAAGTACACAAGTGAAAGAGCTTTGTTGGATTCCACAGACACACTCTGTATGTTAAAGGCTCTCACACACACACAGACACACACACACACACACACACAGACACACACACACACACACAGACACGCACACACACACGCACACGCACACGCACACACACGCACACAGACACACGCACACACACGCACACATACGCACAGACACACACACACACACGCACACACATGCGCACACGCACGCACACGCACACACACACACACACACACGCACACATACGCACACGCACGCACACGCACACATACGCACACGCACGCACACACACACACACACACGCACACACACACGCACACACACACACACGTTTCTGTCTGTATTTGTGTGGACGTCACTTGCCAGCTGTCACTCAATGTCTCCCACGAGCACGTTTAGCTTTTTTAATGTTTTGCCCACTTGTTGCCCACTTGTTGCCCACTTGTTGCCCACTTGTTGCCCACTTGTTGCGCACTTGTTGCCCACTTGTTGCCCACTTGTTGCCCACTTGTTGCCCACTTGTTGCCCACTTGTTGCCCACTTGCACCTTTTTGTTTTTGTCTGTTTTTGCACAAAGACAGAAATGCAGCATGAGGCCAGTTTCAGCGGTGCATTCACAGCACTATATTTTCCATTCTGCCGATTATTAATAATGAAGCCTGTTATTAAAGAAGCACTAATAATACTGGAGCTGTTAACACACACGCTTACACACATGTGAGCAGAAAAAGTATCTTTATTCAAATGCAGGTTTAAACCTCAGGACCAGCCACAGCTTCTTCAAACTGTGAGACGAAGAATACAAGTTAGTAAAAGCTCAAAGTTCTTTGCATTGATGCTGTGAACATGAACGTGTGTGAAAGGTGTGTGTTGTTACAGCTTCGTACCTGCAGCTCACGAGACAAACATGTATTGGGTCTCAGCCTGGTCACCTGACAGAAACATGGTAGAAAAACATGAACGTGTCATTTCTCTGAGTCACTGATGGAAACATCAGCTTGTATGAACTGTTCAGTCTGATGGATCCTCTGAAGTGTGTCAGTGTGCTGTTGGAGTAAAGCTTAGTTAGACTTGGACCTGGTTGGTAGTAGTCATAGATCTTGACCACGGCTGGCTTCAGGTTGTCCACTGGGAGCTCCTGGATGATCTCTAAGCTGTGGTTGATGGGTGTGTCCTTTGATAACTGGACGAGACAGAAACAATCGCAGACACAGTTTGTCCCAAAGATCATCATCTGGTGTCCCCACGGTGACTTTCACTTACCTCCTCTAAGTACACCAGAACGTGATCCTCCTTTTGCTCAACACGACTCACCAGGAGGCCACGTTTGAGCTGTGAGGAGATGACATCATTTTATTATTATCCTCACAATTATCACATGAGATGCACTCGTTGGTAGAATCTGTCTAATTACTCACACTCTTCAAAGACTCGGGGTCTGGGGAAAATCCAGAGAGCATTTTGATGTCCAGGATCACCATGTTTGTAGTTTCCTCCTTTCCACTGTACCTGTGTTTGAACAGTGTGATTATACTGACCTGTGTGCACACTTGCTTTTCATCTACCAGCAGTTCCTCCACACGGGTAAAGAGCGCTCCTCTCACCTGTCACATACTTACAGTGATTGTATTTGCACAGTGAATTTGGGTCTAGCAGATTCACTGGTGTTGACCTCTAGATGGACTCTCACACTGAGAGTGGTGACATCAGCAGGTGTTGGGATGTTGTAGGTGGCAGAAATCTGGGAAACACACTTGGGTCACGTGTGGAACAGAACTAATCACACCTCAATGCACCCTGCTGTCACTGTTCTACACCATGACACATATTAGCACACATACTTTTATAGTCATACCTATATGTCTATATTCATCTTAATATGAGGATCTCTGTTATATCTACACTCATTTATACGAGTGCTTGATGTTTGTTGTATATTTGCTGCTATGACAACTCAGTTTCCCTCTGGGATTAATAGTTTCCCTGATTCTGATACAGACAGAAAGTTCATTTGTTTTTGCTCAGTTCTCCAATTTAGTTTAAAATAGCATTGTACTCTCTACAGTTATTACTGCCAGGTCTAATGTCTTTATTGTGTATGACAATACATGTGCAAGATGAGCTTTATTACATGTGACAATGCTAATGCTCTCTGAAGTTGTATAAGGAAAAAGAAAAAGAAGAAACCCTTTCTCTGACATCAACCAGGAGCTTCTCACGTGATGCTGTCACTGACCTGCACTGAAGCACATGCAGTGCCCTTCACCTCCAGGCTGTATTTTCCTGACACGTCCTGCAGCGCCTCCTCCTGGTAGAGCAGTTTGTTGCCCTGATTTACATCAAACGTCAGCTGACTGCTGGGAGCCTGAACTGTCACTGTGCTCCAACCTTCAGCACTGAACACCAGAGTGGAGTAGAGAGCCAGAGCCTGAAGAGCCACCACCGTGTCCTACAGGATGGATTCATTGTGGTTAACACACACAGCATATGTCTCCATATTTCATGGGCTTAAGTGGAATTGACATTAAGTTAAAACAGCCTGTGTCACTTTGAGACCCTCTCACAAAAGAGATCCTTAATCTCAAGTTTTCCAAAGTTCACTTCCTGGTTAAATAAACGTTAAACAGGTTAAAATATCTTTAACTGAGAATTATCAAAGTATAGAAATTACAGGTATAAACTCGCAGGTGATCTGTTATTTACAGGCTGTTACGTGTAGTTGGTACAGAAGTCTGAGGTAACATTGCTATTCTGTTAAAACAATGAATTTTTAGACAAAACTTGTCATGTTCTAACTAAAGAATAAAACTTCTCTGCCTGGCTAAAACAAATCTGTTTTACATATCTGATAGAAAACTGAAAGCTTCAGTATTATTTCTTCTGTCCCTGGTTTTGTCTAAGACTGTACTCAAAGATGAGCTTCATGCTGTTCGGGTGGTGTCGTACCTGAGTGGAGGAGAAGCCTCCGTAATAGTTCTGCTGCCCAGTCAGCCACCTGATAATACCAGAGGCATATCCCAGATCCTCAGCAGTCGGGGAGGCGCTGAGTTTGGCCAACAGCACATAAGAACTGATTTCCACTGACAGGGAGGCTGATGTTTCTGCTGCTGTCTGAGACCAGTAGAGGAAACCTCCTACAAACACAATAACAGTCACGGTGATGCTAATGAAGCCTGAATGATGTCCTGCTAAAGGATGACTCACCTTCCCTCACTGCAACTGTGTCTAAGTGCTGCAAAAGGTGAGCTCGGGTCTCCACGTCTCCTGCCAGAGTGAACACATAGGCCAGCAGAGCTGTAGTGTAGGTGTTGCTCAGGTCACTGAGAGACTCCTTGAGACAAGCCAGGCTCTTGTTCATCACAGGATCCTTTAAAAGATCAAAACAAAGAACTTTAATGGACAAACAGAAATCTTCTTTCATTAAACCCAGTGTGAGAAGAATAGGAGGCAGAGTTCTTGATTCAGTCACTCAAAACACCAGCGTGATAATAGACAACACAGCAATTAGAGGAAAGTACAGATCAAGCAAAGACTGGAGCAATCTGCTAGTAGTATTTACAATATAAAGAACATATTGAAAAAACACTGTACAGGTTGGATGGTGATACCAGTCCTTGCTGGTGAGAGTTCAGGTATGTGGATGACCTGGGTGAAAATCAATTCTCAGGACGTTCCACAATTCACAGATCACATTAACTCGGTGGAACGACACATCAAATTCACCAGGGAGGATATGAAAAGTGTCAGGTTAGTCTTCTTAGACTGTGAGATTTCCATCAGGGATGGAGGACATTTAAAAGCTGATGTGTACCGTAAACCTAAGCTCCAGCCGATCCAGGAGAGAAGGACAACCGCTGCCTAAGTGAAAACCTGTAGTGATCCCGTATGTGTCAGGAGTATCAGAACAGCTGAGGCACATTTTTTTCTAAACACTGTGTCTCTGTGGCTTTTAAACCCCAAAACACGCTGCGCCAAAAACTGCTCCACCCCGACACAAACAGAGTAACATAGTGTACGGTGTTAAGTTCCAGGAGGATTGCCAGGATCTATACATCGGGGAAATCGAACCACCTCTTGCTAAGAGGATGGCACAACACAGAAGAGCCACCTCGTCAGGCCAGGACTCTGCAGTCTATTCACACCTACAGATCAGTGGACACTCTTTCAATGATGAGGATGTAACATCCTGGACAGGGAGGAATGCTGGTTTGAGTGTAGGGTCAAGGAGGCCATTTACGTGAAAAAGGAAAGACCATCTCTGAATCGAGGAGGGGGCATAAGGGTACATCTGTCACCATCTTACAATGCTGTGATTGCAGCCATTCCCCAACTCTCTGTGAATGGTACTGATGGCCATTGATCGGTGGTCCTTGATCATTTGTCTTTGATCAGTGGTTGTTGATCAATGGTCATGAGAATTTGCATAATTATGATTAAGGAACTGACCTCCCAGCCACTGGTTCCTTCAGTGGTGCTGGTTTCAGTCATTATGCAAATGTACTGTTTATAAGATTGAAACCTGCAGTCAGCTGAGCCTGAAGACGTCACTTGGATGAGTGACGAAACGTTTCTCCCACTGAAAACATCCAGATGAACAGAATCAACTTTTTGGGGTATATGTAATATATATATTAGATTGTATATTATATTGTTGGTTTATACACTTTTGTGTATGTATGTATATATGCATACCAGCTCGGACGTCGCCCGGATCAACTATTGGAACAAGAAGGCATTGGTGGGCAAGAGATGAAAATAGGGCCTTGTTGGAATGCTACTATACAAGTAACCCTGGCAGAAGGGGTTACATGAATAGGATGAGGGACCTATGGAATACCCAGCACCCACACTGACAGCGAAACAACTAATAGCTCAGTGTTCCAACATTCGAAAGAAGGGTATTGCTCTCACAGCTAGAGATTGACGAGGTGCAACACAAATGCTACGGCAAGGGGGAGCCAGGACGCCAGGCCAGGGGGGGAGATGTCATCACCGCCACCCGAGATTTGTACCAAACCCCAAGTGCTATAGTGCGAGAGGAAGTGACCTGAAAGATAGGATCATGGCAAAACTTGAAAACTGGATTCCCCATAGCTGGTTACCAAGATGTGAAGATCTGCTAGATGATGTAAATGCGATACCTACAGCCACGATTATCGAAACTAACAAGCTGATGTACAGTACAGCAGCAGTGATCAGAGAGATGCTTGGCTACAGGTTGAACAGCCACAAGGAGAAGGAGACTAGAGGCTAAGATCAAAGAGGGAGGTTAACCAACTTTCGGAGCTGCAGAAAGGTGTGACAAAGACGGTGCCCAAGAAGAAGTTTAGCAAGCTGTCCATGGAAACTGCCAAACAACGACTAACAGCCTTGGCCAGCACCTTGCCATACACTAGTATGGCTCACGTCTACTGGTGGAAGAAGCTGACTGCACTCCATGAGTGTCTGGCAGCACAAATGAACCAGCTGTTAGTTGACGAGAGACACCCAGAATGGCTAACTGTAGGGCGGACAGTCCTGAAGGGATCGGTCCCATCGGTCCAATCCAACTGCTGACCAATAACCTGCCTCAGTACCACATGGAAGCTCCTGTCAGGCATCATAGTGGCTAAGATGAATAGACACATGTTCCTGTGCCCCACTCATTGGCAAGAATACCAGAGGTGCAAAACACCAGCTACTTGTAACAATCAGCCGAGACTGCCTGGATTGATTACAAGAGGGTCTATGCCTTAATGCCCCACAGCTGTATCTTGGAATGCCTAGACCTGTACAAGATCAACAGGACTTTAAGAACCTTCATCAAGAACTCAATGGGAATGTGGCGTATAACACTAGAGGCCAATTTCAAGCCCATAGCACAATCATCATCTATCAAGGAGATGCTCTGTCCCTACGGATACTGACTACGGGATGAAGCAGCTGTCAGCCATCTCCTGTATGACATCATACGTGGATACGTGGATATGTGGATGACATCAAGCTGTATGCCAAGAGTGAACGAGACATCGATTCACTGATCCACACCACCAGGATATACAGCAACGGCATTGGAATATCGTTCGGACTGGAGAAATGTAGCCGGATGACAACAAAGAGAGGAAAGGTAGGCAGAACTGAGGGAATCTAACTAAGGCAACATTGCAGACATAGAGGACAGCTACAAGTACTTGGAGATCCAACAGGAAAATGGAAACCACAAAGAGGCTGCTGGGAAAGCTGCTACCACCAAGTACCTGCAGAGGGTCAGGCAAATCCTGAGGAGTCAGCTGAATGTTAGAACAGGATCCGGCCTATCAAAAAACCTACGCCCCGCCTGTCATCAGGTACCCTGCTGGGATAATAAGCTGGCAAAAGAAGGAGATAGACACTGACATCAAGACAAGAAAGTTCCTAACCATGCATGGAGGGTTTCACCCCAAGTCCCGCATGCTAAATGGCAGGAAGGAGGCCAGGGACTGGTGAGTGTCAGCACCACATTCCAAGATGAAACAACGAATATCCACGAGTACGAGGAAGATGGCCCCAACTGACCGCGTGCTCAGTGAATACCTCAGGCAGCAGAAACCCAAGAAAGAGGAGGAAGGCGAGGAACCATCATGGAAGGACAGGCCCCTGCACAGTATGTTACCACCGGCAGATAGAGGAAGTAGATGATACCCAGAAATCCTACCAGTGGCTGAAAAAAGCTGGACTGAAAGACAGCACAGAGGTACTAATCATAGCAGCACAGCAACAAGCTCTGAGTACAAGATCCATAGAGGCTGGGGTCTATCACACCAGGCAAGACCCCAGGTGCAGGCTGTGTAAAGATGCCCCAGAGACAATCCAGCACATACCAGCAGGGTGCTAGACTGCTGGTTAAACCTAACTCCATGGCTCAGCAGCTCAAACTCTACTCCTTTTTTTGTTGAATACCTTGATATTCTTTGAGTCTACTCACATGTTGGGATGTATTCATTTCCAAGAAGGCAGCAGTAACGTACGCACTGAGAGTCACTTCATCAGATACACCACCCTGTCAACAGAAGACATCATAGACACTTTATCATCAATGCACCAACATTCAGGGATATGAAGTCATGAAAATGATTTTCAGCTGCATGTGGTTTTAGTATCATCAATGTCTTCATGCATGTTCAAACATCCAGCTAAAGAGATGAACAGGAAGTTGATTTTGTTCATCTGGACATTGTATTTCCAGTGAGATGGATGTTTCTTCACTTCGGGTTTCCTCAGCCTTATAAACAGTTAGTGTAGTCATCTACTAATCAGAAGGTTGGTGGTTTGATTCCCCGCTGCTCCAGCCTGCATGCCAAATATTTGTGGGCAATATACTCATCCCAAGTTGGTCTCTAGTGCATACTTTGTATTTAGTATAAATATGTGTGAATGCTAGATAGAAAGCAGTGCTGGTGTGAATGGAACAAGATGTATGGAAATTATTTCTTATATAAAATAATAGAATATACTGATGTGAGCTATTACAGTATGTAGTACAGTGTTTTCCATGTATGCATGACATTATTAATAAAATTTGTTAAATCCAGACTGGAGGCTGTTTCCACAGTCTAACAGTGAAGAACTGCAGGTTACCTTCATTCCGTTGTGGAAGAGTTTCCCAGACTTTTCAAAACAGCCATTTTCTTGTTGTTTATGTTGCAGCCAGGTCTTAGACTCTTCGATCTTTCTGGGATCAATAAAGATGAAAGACTGAGCTTTGGCAAAACTTCTTACCACAAACGCAGTCAGCCTGACAGAAAGAAAACAACACTTACACGTCTTACAATGATGGAAATGTTTGGCTGTGAGGTCACATTAACAGAAAGAAATACTGATCATTTTGAAAGTAAACTTGAAATTTCAAGGTTAAATTTGAAAATGTATTTTGAGACAAAAGCAGAAATGTGGATATCACAGTTATTTCAGGACAAACTGCCACGGTTGCTTTCCCCTCTGAATTAGTGAAATCGTACTTCAGACTCAGTTTTAGTAACAGGGAAGGAACTGATGTCATTGTAGCAATAAAAACAGCGTGGCAGTAAGTATAAGTACACCAAAAAGCAGAAAGTGGTGCAGAAAGCTGCATGTGGTTAGATTTGTATAAAAGGAAATGGCTGCTAATGTACAGATGCAAGGATACCGATGGTTCCACGCTCGTGGAATAAAGAGGATCTATGCTGTATCACAAGACCACTGATTTATTTCACTACATCTACTCAAGGCATTTTATACAGGGTATAGCAATCGTTTGAAACAACAATCATTTCAACTGTTTTCTTAGATTTGAATTAGACTTTTTTCACAAAACAGTATTAAGACTTTATTATTGAAATAGTATTTAGACTTTTTCTTAAAGTAAAATAACTTTAAGCTTTAAAATTTGACTTTATTCTAATAATGATCAATAACATTGTTATGTGGCTCTAATACTCCTTCCTACCTACTAAATTACACAGTATTAACCAAAAGGTATTGTTAATGTTGGCTTAGTCAAAGGATTAAATGGAGAATTATTTTAAGTATTAGAGGTAGACATGTTTATGTTATTAATGGGTAGTCAAACTTCAAGAAACGTCTTCTGTTTGGTGGGACATTTAAAAACCAGTGTAACCTCTCTGGTTTGTGACATGTTTGATCAGTGATGTTCTCACCAAGTGTTTCCTGGTCCTGTTCCAAATGTGGTGTAAGCACCGTCAGCACTTTTGTAGTTGAGCTGTCTTTGGTATCCTGTAACAACAGGGACACCATGATCGAGACATTGTTGCTATGGTGATGATTGGACTCCAATTGTTTATGGATCTGCATGTGTACATCGAGATTTGGGAAATTCAATGACTCTTGCTGACAGATGAGGAAAATGACGCATTTGACCAAAAGCTGTGGCTAATGTTCTGCCTCCTGTCGGCTTGTTTCTTGAACCGTGTGTGTTGAAGTGATTCAAATGATTTCCTTCTTAGAGGAAACAATAAAAACTTGCCACTGGTGAGGAAGTTAGTAGCTTTTTCCATGATGGCTGCGGTGAGCTGCTGTGTGCCTTTCAGGTAGTGGAGGATGTAGATGTTGGGGGCCAGGAGAGCCATGTTCTGCTCCCACATCCATACGGCATCTGCAGCAATCCATCCAGGTTCTTCAGAGCCCGGCCGAGGATGTCACCTGATCAAAAACACTGATTCACTAAAACTAACAAACTAGCGTAAAACAACTTTGTATTATTGGGCAGAGATAACCTGAATACTTCAATATGCAATTTTAAATGATGATTTCATTTGCTGAGCGAAAAAACATCCAAACTGAAAATCGTAGATTGACTGTGATTAACCAAATATTTCTGGGAAGACTGAGTTTCATTTCACCAACCAGACCCAGGCTTGATTAAGGCCAGACCTGCTGGATCAAGAAATCACTCAAGTACAATCTGTTTGATAAAAGGGAAGCAGGCTAAAAGACGTCCAGAAGAAACACGTCGTTGCCATGACCAAAAGAAATTCAAAAATAGGCGAGAAGTCTTGAGATCTATCAGTTTGGACAGGATTAAAAACAATTTCTACAGCTTTGGAGCACCAGTGCACCATGTTGGAACCCATTATCCACCAACTGAGAAAACTAGAAAAGATGTGGCCGAAATTACTCCATTAGCACATCGACGACTCACCGAAAAAGTCAAGCGAATCCCAACAACACCCAGAACTGAAGGCCTTGCCTTCCTCTGTAAAGGTCAGAGTTTACGATTCAACAATACAAAGGAGACGGGGCAAAAACAGCATTCATGGACAAAACCACTGCTGACCAAGAAGAACACAAAAGCTTATCTCACATTTGCCAAAAAACATCTCCAAGCTCCACAAGATATTTGGGAGAATATTTTATGGACTGAAGAGAAAACGTTTTGAGTTTTGTTGCATTTGGCTTAAAAGTGACGCATCATTTCATAGAAAGAACATCATACCAACTGTGTGATCACTGTTGGGGAGGGTCTTCCCACCCTCCCCAACAGTGAGGGTGGGAAGACAAGTCTCCCCCTCCATCTCACTCAGCACTGGAGTGCCTCAGGGCTGTGTTTTAAGCCCCCTGCTGTACTCACTGTACACTTATGACTGTGTAGCCACATCAGACACCACCTCCATTGTCAAGTTTGCTGACGACACTGCTGTTGTGGGCCTGATCTCCGACAACATCGAGACGGCCTACCTGGAGGAGATTAGGAACCTGGAGACCTGGTGCCAGGAGAATAACCTCCTCCTAAACATCAGCAAGACTAAGGAGCTGATCGTGGACTTCACTACAAAGCAGGCGAGGAATTACAAACCCCTCATCATCAGTGGCACGCCAGGTATCGGACAGTTTCCGATACCTGGGTGTCCACATCACTCAGGACCTGTCATGGTCCTGCCACATCAACTCCCTGGTTAAGAAAGCTCGTCAGCATCTCTTCTTCCTCAGAAGACTTAGAGACTTCCATCTGCCACTGAAGGTGCTCAAGAACTTCTACTCCTGCACCATCGAGAGCATCCTGACGGCAAACATCTGCACCTGGTTTGGGAACAGCACCAAGCAGGACAAACGAGATCTGCAAAGAGTGGTGCGCTCAGCCAAACGCATCATTCAATCAGAGCTCCCTGACCTGCTGTCCATCTACACCAAGCGGTGCAAGTCCAAAGCTAGGAAGATTATGATGGACCTCTCCCATCCCAACAATGGACTCTTCTCACTGTTGAGGTCTGGGAAGCGCTTCCGCTCCCTTAAGGCCAAAACAGAGAGAATGAGGAGGAGCTTCTTTCCCCAGGCTATTCGGGCCCTGAACCAGGTGTAGGACTGGACTCTCCCACACACGTCACTATAAGACTGGACTCTCCCACACATCAAATCACCACACGCACCACCACACATTTCCTATAATCCTATAATTCCTGTAATTTATAATCTTTATAATCTTTATAATCTCTTCTGCTATTTGCACATTCTTTACTGTAAATTTCTAAGTTAATTTGTAAATTCTGTAGTAAACTGTAAATTGTAAATCTTGTAAAACTTTTCTTCTGTCATTTAATGGTCGGGCATTGTACAGCTACAAGCATTTCACCCCCATGTCATACTGTGTATGGTTGTGTGTGTGTGACAAATAAAATTTGAATTTGAATTTGAATTTGATGCTCTGGGGCTGTGTGGCGTAGGTTTGTCTGCAGCTCAGCTGCAGGGGAGGGGTGGGGCATTGGGTTCAGGTGGTTAGTGACGGAGGAGTCTGGTTAAGGCAGCTGGTGCCCAGTGTTAAATCATGCCTCTGCTGTTTCAGTAGCTCGCCATGACCTGGAGGGAAGAACTCTCTACCAGGAGAATGTCCAGCTATCAGTTTGTGCCTTAAATCTAAAACTTGGGCATTTAACCTTCTGGGGTCAGGGTATAATTGGCCGTTTTTGACTACTTTTGATTTTACCTCTATATCTCACCTTTAAAAACTGTTTATCTTGCCTTGTTTGGTATCGTTACTTTCAGCACAGCTTTAAATATCTGAAATTTGAGTTATTTTTTCCTTTTGGCATACTATATTAGCACAGTTGATCTAAATTCAGACAAAAATGTCAAAATCCGAGTAGAAAAAAGTTACATTTTTTACTGTAAAACCCACAAACATGTTTAACGAATCATTTTCATAACTTGAAATGCAAATAGAAAGAATAAAATTATGCACAAATTTTGCAAACAAAAAAGTTATATGGTACTATTTACCTAAAAATGCAGCCCAGGCCTCAGGCGTTTTTTACATAACCAGTTAAATCTATTTACAGAACAATCAGTTCTGCATCAAATAAGAAGGCACACAAATGATTTGTGTTCAGTATAAGACAGAGGAGAACAGCACAGGCCTGAACCAGGTCTGACAGCAGGAGGAGCATATGTCCAGTTTTCCATGTGGGAACAGCGTTTACACTGGACTCTGCCTTTGACGGCGTTTTTGGAGCAAATGTGACATTCAGCAGTATAACTGACACACAATACAACACAATAACTACACAACACACTAACTACAGCCTCCAAACACGCTAAACGTCACTAATGTGTGACATATGAAAACTCGCTCTCTCTTTTGCTCGCTTTCCGTCACTACTAAAAATGCCGTTCTCCCTAAATAATCAAGCGTCACATGTTGCCATATCATTTTTTGATTGGCTGACATGGTAAACTCTAACACCAATAGGGAAGGAGTGTTTTTTATTTTTTTTTTTTCACGCGCAAGCAGAGAGTGTTTGCTAGCGCTGTCTGTAGAAAACGCCGTTTTTACCGTTCTTCCTGCTGTAAACGCCACTGTTTTGTAAAGAAAAAAACATTATGTGTATTTTTTATCATAACTCTGGTTTAACGTGGTCCATCGACACAATTCAAGAACTGATATATAGTCTGAAGTCCGTTACTTTCGACCAACAAAACAACCTGAAGAGCCGGTTGGGAGCTGAAAGTCCTGGCTCTTTTTAATGCGCCGAGCCGAAAGAGCCGGTTCTCCAACAAGAGAAAGAAATCCCCTCACTATCTTGTGGCTGTGTCGTCTTAAATTGGTCATGTGATTTTGACGTGTCGGCGCATACGTCGACCCCAGAGGGTTAAGATGGAAAATGATCCAGGACACCAGAAAGTGGTCGAGTCAAAATCTGGACTTAAATCCTACTGACATGATTCTGCATGACCAGAACGATTGCGCTGGAAAAGCCTCTGGTGTGACTGGGCCAAAACTCAGCGTTTCAAACACACTTATGACTAAAGCTAGACTGCAGTTCTTCCTGCACAGAATGGCACAAACAGCCTTTTTGGGGTCCATTTCTTTTTCACACAAGGCCAGGAAGACGTGGGTCTATCTATAAATGAAATCATCTTTTAAAAGCTGAATACGGTTTTTACTTTTACTTGAACATGACGTCTCTTTTATTTCCTGTTGTTTTAGTAATTTGCCTTTTTAACAAAGCTTTAACCTGCCATATTTTTATTTGGCTGAATCAAAATTGAGATGAAATCATGAGGTTTACCCAGGACTGATACAGAAGTGCGGGCAGATCCTTCTATCACATTCTCAGGCAGATGTATCTCTGCTTCCTCCGTCAGCGGGATTCCTGTGTAGAGACACAACAAACGTCCAATCAGGAAGTCACGACTACAACAGAGTTACTGTTCAAAGTCACCAGGTGGCCTGATCTTCAGCACATATCGTTACATTTTGTGAAAGTAAAAGATGAAAATTTGGCACATTTTATGTACACAGTGCACTCCACTGCTAACTTTGAGCATTTAGGTCATTTCTTTATTTAAACTTTGTGACTGATGGACATCACACTGACCTTTTGGACAAAGAAGCCAGTTGTACGTCTTTGTCGTCTCACTTCCCTCGGCCTGAGGAAAAGTATCTTTAAAATGAGTAACAATTTAAATTTTATGAGTAAAAATGTTTTTCTCGTCTCGTATTTATGACACTGACCTTCACTATGAGAGATTTGGTGACCACGTCGATGCGACCTCTGTCTGGTACGCTCACAACCTCATTATCGCATGACACATGGGACGCTACGGCCTCAGCAGACACAGTCACATTCACAGCCCCTAAAAGCAGCAGCACAGGTCACCTTCTTTGTCTCTCCATTAAAATAAAGGTTGCCGAGGTTATTTTACAGATTTTGTAGAAACTAGAAGGAAATGTGTTGGGACAAAAGGAGGCGGTTAACTGTGATCACACTAGATCTAAATCTAGATTTAATGTTGGTTCTAAATCGAAGGTAAGATCAATTACAATTGGAAATTTTACTGCATCAGGCATGAAAAACATGAGCTGAAAAAAAAAAACAGTCCAAAATGATGTCAGGGTTGCTGCTGAGTCCTGCTGGAGGCCAAAGTACTGCAAATCATAAGATCCATTTAAGATTAAGAAGAAATCATTTGCATGGCAATGCAACTGCAAACAGTCTGTTCTAATGATACTGTCCAAGGGAAGCATGCATAATGAATTGAAAGGAAGGTTTCAAAATGACTTGTAATTGGCTAAGACAGCTGCATTAAGTAAAGCATGAGGATGGAGGCAGCTGCTGCCCTCAGACTGGAGGTATAGACGTTCTGCCCCACTCCCTACAACCCCCACCTTTAGCCTTCCAAACACAGGGGTTATATTCTTGGTTTACCTGGATTTGCAGCAGCATTTGACTGTCTACATGTCCTAGCTCTACACTGCACACTCACTGTCGTCTAATGCACACACAGCTTTCTAAATTCCATGAATATAGCTTATTGGGTCTGAGATTCTCTCATTTCATTATGATAACTTATATTTCAGCAGTATTTCTCACATAGTGTTTTTATAATTGCTCTTTATTGTTTTAATCTCCATTTATTCTATTTAGCCATCTTATGTGGATTCTTTTTAAGTCACTTCCTGAGAGTTCACTTCCTGCTTCTGGGTGCTGCACTTGGGTCGTACTCAGCCTGCCACACAGCGGTTTCCTGGCAGTGTGGAGGACCAAAGCCTGATCCTCACCTAAGGCTGTTGGGATCATGGTCCACCTGAGGGTCTTGCGCTCGTTGGCACACAAACAGGATGTGTACAGATCACCAGAGAGAGGCGTGAGGGTGTAATCTGAGGACGGCCCAGGAGTGACAGTAACCTGTACGAGGAACACAGACATGGCTACATTTAAACCTGAGTTCAAATGTGAACACATTTCTAAGCATCTAAACAAATGCACAAGTTTGATGTTATGAACTCATGATCAAAGTAGACCTTAATTTTACTTGGATACTTTAATCACTCCCTTCCTAATTGTTTCCCTCCATCTGTTTTCTTACAGCCTCCACACTAAACTCTGTTCTACAAGGTGCATGAGCGCACAAAGAAAGCTAGAGGAGGGCTGGTAGTGTAAAGACATGTGATTGGGCAATCCTGGTGTCTGTGCTTGCAGGTGAGCTTGCAGGTGTTGGTGAGCAGGGGCCCTTCAAGAACGGCCTGCATCCTGCATGGTTATATTGCCAAAGAAAAGATATTTTCTATTGTATTTTAATAACTATGATATAAATTTTGCTTAGAAAGTCATGTTTTCAGTATGGCTTTCCTTGGCTATGAACAGACATGTATCTAAACACTTTAATCATTCATTACCATGATGCAGCTGGTCAGGTAGTTAAAGACAGTCGCCCTCAGTTCAAAGTGCTCCCCCCGGATGATGGAGTAGGGCATGGTGAGTTCAAGGAAGAAAGGTTGGAAGACTTTCATTTCTTTACGAGGAGCCAAACCAAAACCCTGAGAGGACAAACAGAAAGCCTCCGTCTCCCAGGTGGTGATGGTGTCTGGGACAGTCAGGGACACGCCCCTTTTTCCATCGTCTCTGAAGCAGCAGATACACACAAACATATTGTGTAACATAATCAAACATGTTTTTATGTCTGTAAATTACTTGTATAACAGTGTAGTTACATCCTGCAGTGTGAATTACTTGTTTATGTTGCATTGACAAAGTAAAAGAGCTCCACGTTGCTGATGACAGTGAAATAATATATCCCACCAAACTTTAAATATGACAAAACATCAGCCTGAAGCATCAAAACATGCTCAAGAAAAAACTCACAATTATTCTATTTTCATCTTTTTCATGTGTGCAAAGACACAGCAGAAAGTTCACATGGGTTTCTAAATGTGATCGTATAAACTTTTTAAAATGTAAAATGCACCAGATCTCTTCACAACAGATACTTACCCAACTTCCACCAGATCCCAGATCCACGTCTCAGGGAAGAAAGAGCGAGCTGTCACTATTGGCCCAGCAGATCCCAGACCACGACCAGAAGAATCACTACGATCAGGAACCATATCTAAAGAAAAAAAAGGAAAATAATTACCGGTTTTCTTTTTGTTGAATACAAAGAAAATTTGTATCAAAAACACAACGCAAACAAGAAAATGATTCACCATAGTAGTACATGGAATAGATTTCAGTTGAGCCATCATGGTATACTTTTCCTTTTAACTTGAGGCATGAAGGCAATCGAAAAAGCAAGTTTGTCGCCATCTTCAGTCCGACTTTCTACATATTTCAGCAGCACACAAAGGTCAGCAAAAACTGGTGCAACAACAAAAACTATTGTATTTACGTTATGTTTGACGGACTCACAGGTATACTTGTATTTTACCTGGAAAACTGCATAGGCGTCATTTTGCTCTTGACTGGGGTACGGCAAAACATATCTTTTTGGTCTCACATTAAGGCATTCTGTAGCATCATCAACCTCATACGGGATACCTGAGGATTTCTTGAGTGGGAGCAAGTCAAATATCTGAAAAGAAAAGTGCAGATCAACAAAAGCTCCAAACATTTTTAGTCCTATGAAGTTTTGACTGATCTATCATGATCATGGTCACATTTGGTCCACATAATTGTAAACTCTTAAATGAAGTACTGGTGTAAATATTAGAACCGATTAGGTTCAAATGAACTGCTAGTTTACCTTAGAAGGGTTCTTAAAAGATAAATAAATAAAAATGATGAAGTCAGCAGTAAGCCTCCACAGATATGAGGTGTTGTAGTTGAGGGATCTTACAGAAGTTGTACAATTTCTCTATAAACTGTTCGTTCTTAGTGACTTATATGGTAAGTGTTCTCCATTTGAAGCTGTCTCTGTAGCTCCTTTAACTCACCAAGTCTCACTTTTTCCAGGTTTTGCTGTATGTATAACATTAACAAATACTTGTGTATTTGAGCAGTTTTCATGTAAAGTTAAAGTCTTCTCAATAAAGTACAGGGAGTGCAGAATTATTAGGCAAGTTGTATTTTTGAGGAATAATGTTATTATTGAACAACAACCATGTTCTCAATGAACCCAAAAAACTCATTAATATCAAAGCTGAATGTTTTTGGAAGTAGTTTTTAGTTTGTTTTTAGTTTTAGCTATTTTAGGGGGATATCTGTGTGTGCAGGTGACTATTACTGTGCAGAATTATTAGGCAACTTAACAAAAAACAAATATATACCCATTTCAATTATTTATTTTTACCAGTGAAACCAATATAACATCTCCACATTCACAAATATACATTTCTGACATTCAAAAACAAAACAAAAACAAATCAGCGACCAATATAGCCACCTTTCTTTGCAAGGACACTCAAAAGCCTGCCATCCATGGATTCTGTCAGTGTTTTGATCTGTTCACCATCAACATTGCGTGCAGCAGCAACCACAGCCTCCCAGACACTGTTCAGAGAGGTGTACTGTTTTCCCTCCTTGTAAATCTCACATTTGATGATGGACTACAGGTTCTCAATGGGGTTCAGATCAGGTGAACGAGGAGGCCATGTCATTAGTTTTTCTTCTTTTATACCCTTTCTTGCAGCCACGCTGTGGAGTACTTGGACGCGTGTGATGGAGCATTGTCCTGCATGGAAATCATGTTTTTCTTGAAGGATGCAGACTTCTTCCTGTACCACTGCTTGAAGAAGGTGTCTTCCAGAAACTGGCAGTAGGACTGGGAGTTGAGCTTGACTGCATCCTCAACCCGAAAAGGCCCCACAAGCTCATCTTTGATGATACCAGCCCAAACCAGTACTCCACCTCCACCTTGCTGGCGTCTGAGTGGGACTGGAGCTCTCTGCCCTTTACCAATCCAGCCACGGGCCCATCCATCTGGCCCATCAAGACTCACTCTCATTTCATCAGTCCATAAAACCTTAGAAAAATCAGTCTTGAGATATTTCTTGGCCCAGTCTTGACGTTTCAGCTTGTGTGTCTTGTTCAGTGGTGGTCGTCTTTCAGCCTTTCTTACCTTGGCCATGTCTCTGAGTATTGCACACCTTGTGCTTTTGGGCACTCCAGTGATGTTGCAGCTCTGAAATATGGCCAAACTGGTGGCAAGTGGCATCTTGGCAGCTGCACGCTTGACTTTTCTCAGTTCATGGGCAGTTATTTTGCGCCTTGGTTTTTCCACACGCCTCTTGCGACCCTGTTGACTATTTTGAATGAAACGCTTGATTGTTCGATGATCACGCTTCAGAAGCTTTGCAATTTTGAGACTGCTGCATCCCTCTGCAAGATATCTCACTATTTTTGACTTTTCTGAGCCTGTCAAGTCCTTCTTGACATCTAATCAACTCTTGGTGGCACTGTCACTTGGTGTCCGCTCGCTCTGCGGTAGAGTATCACTTCCTGTTCCTGCTCGAACACAGTGGTGTTTCTGAGTAGCTTATTTGCTTAGCAATTTAATTAACAACTTTTAAATACATTCTTTTTCATAGTATAATCTTCACGTGCTTCATCCGAAGCACACTTTCTGTGTACTCACTACCTAATTTATAGCCAAAGTATTCACTCACTGTCTCTGTACTGTTTTGCTAGCTTAGCTTAGCTCGTAGCCGACTGGTTAGCACCATGGCTACTTCACCTGTCCCTCCTGCACTTTCTTGCTCATTGTGTCAGATGTTTAGTTACTCCTCGGCCTCCTTTAGCAGTAATGATATCTGTAACAAATGTAGCATATTTGCAGCTCTGGAGGCCAGGATTACTGAATTGGAGACTCGGCTTCGCACCCTTCATTCACCCGTAGCTAGCCAGGCCCCTGTAGCTGGTGCAGCCGAAGATAGCGTAGGCCCCGCTAGCTGTTCCCCGGCAGACCCCAAGCAGCTGGGGAAAGAGGGTGGCTGGGTCACGGTGAGGAGGAAGCATAGTCCTAAACAGAAGCCCCAGGTACACCACCAACCCGTTCATGTGTCTAACCGTTTTTCCCCACTCGGCGACACACCCGCCGGGGGTTAAACTCTGGTAATTGGTGATTCTGTTCTCAGACATGTGAAGCTAGAGACACCGGCAACCATAGTCAATTGTCTTCCAGGGGCCAGAGCAGGCGACATTGAAGGAAATTTAAAACTGCTGGCTAAGGGTAAACGTAAATTCAGTAAAATCATAATTCACATCGGCAGTAATGACACCCGGTTACGCCAATCGGAGGTCACTAAAATCAATATTGAATCAGTGTGCAACTTGTCGGACTCTGTAGTTTTCTTTGGTCCCCTCCCCAATCAGACCAGGAGTGACATGTTTAGCCGCATGTTCTCCTTAAATTGCTGGCTGTCTGAGTGGTGTCCCAGAAACGATGTGGGCTTCATAGATAATTGGCAAACCTTCTGGAGGAAACCTGGTCTTGTTAGGAGAGACGGCATCCATCCCACTTTGGATGGAGCAGCTCTCATTTCTAGAAATATGGACAAATTTATTAAACCCCCCAAAATATGACTATCCAGAGTTGGGACCAGGAAGCAGAGTTGCAGTCTTACACGCCTATCTGCAGCTTCTCTCCTCCTGCTACCTCCCCAAAAACCCAAAAATAAAAAGGTAAGCACAGCCTGTTGTATTATAAATACCAAATGTGCATATTGGGCTTTCCAAATTAATCTGTTCACTGAGTTACACGTATTTTCACATTAAATTTGTCGGTGTCTGGTTTTTGGTGCAAGATACTAACAACATAAGTTGAGGCTGAATTCCAGTGTGTAAGATAAACTGCTTCTACCGAGAAACTAATAATACACTACGTTGAGCTAGTTGCAGTAAACTGCTTCTACCGAGATACTAATAAGACACTACGTTGAGCTAGTTGCAGCCCACTTTACCTTCCACATTTAATTTTGTCGAAGACTGGCTTCTGTAGCAATAATGCATTAGAATCTCTTGGAGACGCGGCCATCAGTCCAGTACATTGAATAGAGGTTTTGAAGTGGTTTATGGTGTCGGTTAAGTCCTCGTTCATGCGGCCATGAAATTAGTATAGAATTGAGGAAAAGCAGATGCTGACTCACGGTGCAGTTGAACGCTGGCAACGTGTAAAAGCGAAACACGTCCGTAGGTTTGGTTTATGATACGGCCGTGTTCCGGTGGTGCGGCGTGAGTACAGCAGTGATTGGTGCTGGTTTCAGTACATTGAATAGAGGTCTGATGGTGGTTTATGGTATCAGTTGAGCCTCGAGGGCTGCGGTCATAAAATAATAAGTAAAATTTTACTTGCCATGAAATAAAGGTAAAGCAGAACCTGGCTTATGATATCAGTAATAGCTTCGGGGACGTATACATCACATTTATGATGCGATTTTGCCCCGTGGTGGCGGTCATAAGCGCAGAGAAAGGGGTATTTTGGTCTATGGTGCAGTGTGCTTTAAAGAATCTAACAGTTGAGCTCAGAGGTTTCTGTGTAAAACTCCCGCTGAGGAAAAGTGCTGTGTGTGTGTGTGTGTGTGTGTGTAAGGCGCTCTGGGTGTGTGTAAGGCGCGCTCTGGGTATGTTGTCTGTGTGTGAAGCGTGGAACACAGTGACAGTGACGGTTGATGTGTTTGAATAGGAGGACATTAGTGCGAAGAGAATGCTTTAAGATCAAAGGTTGACGCCTAGTGTACCTGTGGAAACTAATTTGTTCATGGTGTGGCGCCCCTCCTGGTCGTGGACGCGTGGCCAGGCCAGCGGCGTCTGGATGCTAAGGTGGCAACTTGGGAACTGAGGACTCCCGTATAGCTACAGAAATAACCCTGGGACCGCCGTGTAACCACGGGTTCACATTTATTCTGGACTAGAACAAGAGAATGCTTTCACATCTAAGGTTGAGTTCTATCATAGGTGAAATATAAAAAGGTTGAATTCCTCGTCTCAGTGGTTGAAATTGTTGTGTGCCTGTCCCCTGACGAGTGTGAAATTAAATAAAGAGGGAATTTGGAGCCACATAGAGATAGACGGGCATAATTGGGTGTATTACTCTGTGGTGTAAGCATTTAAAAATAAAAATAAAAAGGAGAGATAGTAAGAGGTGTGTAGTGGAGAATTATGGAGGAGTAGAGAGAGGAATGTGTTGGGAGACTGGCGTGCAGTTTACGCTGTCGAGGTAGGCGGGTTGCCTGCTCATCTGTTTAACAGTGATGAAAATGAAATTAAATAAATCTCTTAGTGTGTTAATACAGGAAGCTGCGGACCTGGACCAACTGCCCCCACAAGCACAGCGGCCGAAGCAAAATTATAGGTAATGGGAACCACACCCAGCACGAATCAGCAGCTGTGAAAAAGACAGCAGCGAGGAGAGAATTAGAGGAGAAATGAAGGTTTTAAGAGCACATGACATTGGGTTGAATTTTGGGGCCAACGGACTTGTGGAGGTTGGGAAGGCGTCCGGAGCATCACAACAAAAGGTGAAACAAAAGCACACACAGCAGAGAAATGTGAGAGAGAGGCTCCTTTTAAGGTAACGCCTAGTTTGAGAAAAGATAAAATTAACCTGCCTGCCTACAAATGCACACACATGCAATGAAGAAACAGCTTACACTCATGAACATGTGAAGATGTTCCAGCAAGGTTAAAGCA